ACATTTGACAAGTACTAGCAATTACACGCCATGAGGCTTCCACCAAGCTCACCCTGAAAATAATAAATCCAGAGCATTCTCGCTTGACAACGAAGCACCTGAGGAACTAAGAGAGGCAGAATCTTCGTCTTCATGTGTGTTCCGGAAAACCCCTCTGGGGCTCACACTCCCCCATTCATGTGTGTTCCGGAAAACCCCTCTGCAGCTCACACTCCTTCCCCACTCATGTGCGTTCCAAATAACCTCTCTACGGCTCACACTCCTTCCCGATTCAATAAACACGCCTCTTTTACACTCCGCCTGGCTTCTCCCCTCAGCCACCCCACTGTCAAACACATTCACATGCCTCAGCGCCCTGGTCTCTCTAAGCGAGTCCGGGAGAGACATGAGCGCCACACATCCCTGCAAATGCAGCACTTCTAGTCGCGGCAGCAGGCCCATGTGGGAAGGCAGGGAGTGCAGGCGCTTGCAGAAGCTCAAGTTGGTCACACGGAGGGATGGCAGGGAGGGGAAGGAGGTGGGCAGGTGAGTGAAAGAGTCGCAGCGGGTCATTGTCAGCCGGGCCAGTCGGGGCAGGGAGCCGAAGCCATCGGGGAGGGTGGAAAGCTGCGGGCACTTAGTGATGGTGAGGTGGACGAGGGAGGCGAGCGAGGAGAACGAGTCGGGAAGGCTGTGCAAGCGCGAGCAGGAGTGGATGGAGAGGCGTCGGAGGGCGCCTAGGGAGCCGAAATCAGCGGGTAGGGTGACAAGACAGTTGCTACCGGTGATGGTGAGTGTGCGGAGGTGGGAGAGGAGGCAGAAGGAGGGAGGCAGGCTGGCAAGGGCTGGGCAACACAGAGATGCTTCTTGCAGGGAGGACAGGCAGCTGAGAGTGTCTGGCAGCCGGTCCAGATTGTCACATTCGATAGAGAGAAACTTCAACGCGCCTAGCCTGGCCAGGGATGCTGGAAGGCCCTTCTCTGAGACATGCCCTTTCAGCTGTAGCCACTCCAGAGCCGCCAGCTGGCCGATGTTCTCTGGGACGACAGGCTCGGTGTGTGCAAGGTGGGCGTGGATCGGAGTGAAATAGGCAGTCCTCTTAAGTGATAGCTTGTGGAGTGAGAGCAGGCGAGCGAGGTGAGGAGGAGGAGAGGGAAAGTAAACATGTGTGAGTTGAAGATCGGTTAGGGAGGTGAAGTGGGAGATGAATGAGGGCAGGGTGAGGCGACTTCCCTCCGAGCTCGTGGTGCTGCTGGTGGTGGTGGTGCTGCTGCTGCTCATGGTGGAGGAAGAGTCGTACTCCAGCGATAAGGACTGGAGGGATGGAGCGAGGAGAGAGACGGAGTCTGGGAGGCGGAGGAAGCAGCCAGAGAGGGAGAGAGAGCGGAGGTTGGTGAGGTGGCCGAAGGCAGAAAGCGCAAGGCTGTTGGGCTTTAGATGGGTGATGGAGAGGTGCGTGAGTGAGCCGAGGGACCAGAGGCGGGCGGACAGGAAGCTGCCTTGCGTGCTATTGTCGCCTAAGGTCAATTCTAGGTGCTGCAACGAGGGGCCGAGAAGCGGCAAGCCCCGGCTTGCGCGGCGGCTGCAGCGGCAGCGGCGGCGGCGGCAGCGGCAGCAGCAGCAGCAGTGACCAAAGCAGCACCAGCACTGGCGGCAGCAGCAGCAAGAGCAGCGGCAGCGGGAGGAGCGGCAGCTGCAGCGGCGGCGGCGGCCGAGGCAGCGGCGGCAGCGGCGGTTTCCGAAGCGAGGGTTAGGGGTAGATAGGCCAGCAATGACCCTATGCGTGGGTCGTCGCCTTGTTCCACCCATGCAACTCTGTCCACGCTGACGTGAGACAGCGACGGCAAGGAGAACAAACCCACGGGAAAGTCCACATTCTCAGTAACGACGCGGGCGTGAATTGAACCCGAGACCTTGAGCCGTTGGAGAGAGGTCAGTCGACTGAGGGGGTGGAGCGGCACAATAGACTCAACGCCCTCTAGAGTCAAGTGGCGCAGCTGTGGGTTCCGGACTACTTGGTCGAAGGGGAACGACTCGAGGTGGTTGCAGGAGCGCAGGGTGAGGCGAGTTAGGGTTTCCAGCCACGTGGGCGGGAGAGAGAGAATGCGGCATTCGTCCAGCGCGACCGCTTCCAGCTTCGCCCACGCGTCGCACGCGCCTGGTAACTCGTCGTCGAAGCGTCGCAGCTCCAGGCGCCGCAACTGCTGCAGCGCGCCGATGCTACTGGGGACGTGCAAGTGGCACGAGCAGTCGATGCGGAGCGAGGTGAGCGACGCGAGGTCGCCCAGAGAATCCGGCAGGCGGAAAACTGGAAAGTTCTCGCACTCGCCGATGGAGAGGTGCGTCAAGACTTTCAGCTGCCCGAAGTTCTCGGGCAGATCCCAGAGTTCCGGACAGCTGAGATGCAACTCCCGGAGCGCGGGCAGAAGGCACAGTCCGTCCGAGGGGTGTGCCAACTCGTTACCGCGGAGGCGAAGCACGCGCAGCGACGACAGCGACGAGACGGAATCAGGAAGCTCGGTTACGTTGGGAGGAAGCACCAGAGCGAGCTCCTGTAACTGCGGCGCCGCGGCGCGGAAGAATGAGTCGAGCGATGCGAGGCTGATTGTGAAGGGCGGCGGTGCGGCGGTGAAACGCGGCTCGCCGAGGCTGAGGCGCGTGAGCTTGGGACAAGCGGCGAGCACCGAGGTAAGGAAATCGTGGTCGTAGAAATCGACGGCACCGTCGCCCAGCGTGAGGGAAGTCACGCTCGGCGCGCGGGAAAGCGTGCGGAGGAGCGCGGGCGCGGAGAGCGTGGGGACGGGAAGCAGCGAGTCGTCTTGATCGTCGGGGTCCTTCCGACGAGATGACGAGTCGGCGGCAGCGGTGATGCGCACGACGCCGGGGAGCAGCGCGGCCCATCGCTTCGACACCCTCCCCAAGCCATGGCACGGGCTGACATCGGACTCCGCTCTGGGCTCCGCGTCACTCGCGGCCGCGTCGACTTGAGAGTCATTGCGGGGGGTTGTTGCGAGGAAGAGAATCCTGGATAGGATCTCGTCAGGTAGACTGTTCATTGCCGCTGATGATTCCCGCTGCTGCTGCTGCTGCTGCTGCTGGGGGATGGACCTGGACGCTCGTAACGCGAATGCTCGTAACGGAGATGCTCGTTATGCAGGTGCTCGTCACCTAATTCCTCCACGCACCAGACGACTTGGGCGGACCCATAAATTTCCCGCCAAATGTGTATGGCGCTTGGCGAAAATGTTTCTGGATCTGGAAACGCGGAGCGCAGCCAATCTCGGCTCGGACCACAGGAGACGATAAAGCGGGAGTGTGGGTGATACGAGGGCGCGTCACTAATCGCTACGGGTACCATAAACCATTTCGGGTAATTCTCTTTCTCAGTTCGCAAATGACTGTACAACATCGTACTCGTACGCAATTTGATCTTCTCGCCTTTCAAAGCCTGACAACCGATAGAAACAACCGTGGTCAGAAATGACTGGCGTGCGAAAGCAGCATACGAAATTGGAACGGATGCGAACGACGCACATTGGGTTGCGCAGGGTTGGTGAAACAGCCTCCGCACAACTCCCCATCTTGGACAAGTTACTCTTGAGTAGACCCAAGACGAGGGTAAATATTGTGGTGGCAATGTGACTTCTGTGGTGGTGACTATGAGCAGAGTGAACATTGATTCAAATTAAAACGAAGCAAATTTGTGTTAACTCATAGAGGTACCTTAGCTTTTTTGTTTGATACAATGCCATTAGAACATATTGCACTGGATCAACACCACACTCATAATACCGTATTAGACTGGAACTGGCAGCACAAGACAGGAGGATGCTCAGAGGAGCCAACTTGGGCTCGAGTCTCTTATGGGATTTCTGTAATGCATAACATGCACTGACTCTATCCGTGACACAACTAGGTAGGCCTGAACGAGGGCACCGCCAAGGGATGGTAGTGCAAGGGTGGTGGAAGGAAAGGGAGGAGCAATGGGAGCATACGGTCAAGTGAATGGGGGGGAAAGGCATGGGGGAAAGGAGTGATGGGAAGCATGGTGTGTAAGAGTTGTATACATGTTTGACACTTTTTGCGCTGCATGAGAGAAGGCTTCATGCTGTACTAGTAATACAATACCGTATGTAAGTTATGGAAACATTGCTGATATCATACATAAATGTACCTCGTTACACAGTTACCAGGCAAGGTGTTCGGGTCTCAACTGACAACCGCCATTCTGGGTACTAACACCAGCCAGCGTCCCATTACCAGTCAGCGCAGCAAAATATGCAAACGTGCTTATATAGGGCCCAGCCTCTATTATAGCCCGCGACTTAGACATCATAAAAAACTCCGCCATAGTGGGGAGGCCTCTATCGAGGCTCCCAGGGCTTGCTTTAGACGTGTGATAGATATCTCCTGCTGAGAAATAAACCGCTCCGAGTGGCTTCAATAGAGTCACAAACTCCGCCCTATGCTCTGCATCGTCTGTTGCAAGAAATATGTTTAATTCCCCATCCTCCTCCTCATCACCTTCCTCTTCCTCCTCCCTGTCTCCTCCCTGCTTCCCTTCTTGCCCCCCCAACCCTCCTGCCCCTTTTACCCCCTCCTGCAATCCTTCTTTCCGTAGCCGTTTTTCCGCCTCCCTCCGCTGCTGCAGCAGGGTCGGTTTCAGCTCCCGAACCAAGTGACCGATGCAGTCCCACAGGCACGTACGCAGGTACGGCGGCCGGACCACTGCGGCTCGGTCCCAGTCCTCGCACTCCCCTTTCAGGTACCCCTCTGTATCGCCCTTCACCGCTTTCTCTACTGCTAGGGAGCGTGTGCGTACATGCAGGGCTATATCAAAGAAAGCTACTGCCTTGTTGGGTGGCAGGAGGAGAAAGGGAGGGACTGCGGGGACAGAAGAGGGAGGTGCTGAGGTTTCTGCAGTTGCTGTGGTGGTTGCTGCATCACTACCAGTAGCAGCAGCAGCAGCAGCAGCAGAAGAAGAGGGAAGGAGGGAGGAGGGGTTGGAGGAGAGGGGGGGTTTAAGAGGGGTGGATCTGTGGAGGATGGCGGAGATGGTGGTGAGAAGCTTCTTGGAAGGTCCTCTTTGGCCGATGAATGCGAACATGGCCCGGGAATGAACGCACCATAGAGAACTGTGAGAACGGGGGGCGGGGGGGCGTTCTGTGAGGGAGTGAGTGAGTAGGACAGAGGGGGAGAGTGATCAAGGAAGAGGAGGAGAGAGGAGTGAGAGGGCAGTGAGTGAAGGGGTGGGAAGGAAGAGGAAGGAATAACCTATGGGGTTTGACTTGGGGAAGTGAGAGGAAAGAGAGGGGCAGTGAGAGGGGGATGCAAGATGAAGTGAGATGGGCAACGCTAAGCTTAGAGCACTCACGTGCAGACGCATTGAGAATGGCGGAGATGACAGACTCAGGCGCACCTGCACTTGAAGGCAGAATAGACGCAGCTCTTGAGAGTGTCGTTGCGATGCCAGAAGAGGTCAAAGTGAGAGCCTGTGCGAGCCCAGGTGGTGCACCATGCGTGCACTGACATATTGGTGCGCCAGAAAATCCACGAACACTACAAAAATCTACGCCATATTGGCTCTGACACAACACACCCACCTGCACTTGAAGGCAGCATAGACGCAGCTCTTGAGAGTGTCGTTGCGGTGCCAGAAGAGGTCAAAGTGAGAACCAGTGCGAGCCCCGAGGATGGGATGGGTGGAGGCGAGGGCATTCCTCATTGCTGCAGTCAGAGAATCAGGCATGAGAACAGACGTTCACAAGCAGGAGTCAAGCATGTGTACATGCACATGAGTTAGGGGTATTGCACATGCACAGACAAACACGTTCAGAGGGACACACATGTACAAGAACACACGATTAGAGAGAGAGACATGCACAGGCTTCAAGCCTTTTAGTCCACCTGGGATGCTCTTGATGCTCTTCATTCAATACTTGGGCTGCACCTCATTGAACCACTTGGCTCTTCCATGAAACATGAACATGACACACAGACAACACACACATACTCACGGTCACAGGCATAAAGGCACACACACACACACATATGCGATGCCACTTCCATATAAACATGTTCCTCTCCCACGCACAAACGACAACCCACCTGGAATGCTCTTAATGCTCTCCATCAGGTACTTGGGCTGCATCTCATTGAACCGTGTGGCTCGTACATGAGATGAGACACACCCGGAGACACATGCACACACACAACAATCAATGCCCCTCACACATGCGCACCTGGGATGCTCTTGATGCTCTCCATCAGGTACTTGGGCTGCATCTCATTGAACCGCCGATACAACTCCATTGGCAGCAGCATGCCCCCCTCTCCCGCTCCTCCCCCTCCTCCACCCTCCATTCCATTCCCTCCTCTCCCTCCCCCTCCTCCCTCTCCTACCCCTCCTCCCCCTCCTCCTCCCCCGTCTCCTCCCCCATCTCCTCCCCTGTCTCTCCCCGCCTCTCCCGCCCCTCCATCCCCCAGCCCGCCCCACCGGACCCCGTCAAACCCGCAGTGAAAGGCGTGGCACAGCAGGTCATACACCTTGTGGTGCTCGCCCGCGTGCAGGGTGACCAGGCGTCGCCCTGAGAGGCGGGCGAACACGAAGGCCGACACGAAGCCGCGAAGACTATTGCCCAGGCCATGACGGGCGAGGAAGACGAGAGAGCGGAGGGCGGGGCGGGAGAGGTGGGCCAGGCGGGAGATGGGCTGGCTGCTGGTGCGTAGGGAGGGAGGGGGAGTGGCAAGAAACAGGTGAAACGCATGGCACACGGTGGCAGCAGCAGCAGGAGGTCATACACCTTGTGGTGCTCCCCCGCGTGCAGGGTGACCAGGCGTCGCCCTGACAGGCGGGCGAACACGAAGGCGGACACGAAGCCGCGCTGGGAGTTGCCGAGGCCGTGGCGAGCCAGGAAGACCAGCGAGCGGAGAGAGGGGCGGGAGAGGTGAGACAGGCGGGTAATAGGCTGGCTGCTGGTGTGTTGGGGGAGGGGATGGAAAACAAACAGGTGAGAGGCGTGGCACAGCCTCACAGAAAGAGGTGATACACCTTCTAGTCTTTCTCCCCGTGCAGGGTGACTGGCTGTAGCCCTGAGAGGCGTCCGAGCACGAAGGGAGTTGCCGAGGCCGTGGCGGGCCAGGAAGACCAGCGAGCGGAGGGCGGGGCGGGAGAGATGGGCCAGACGGGTAATAGGCTGGGTGCTGTTGGGAGGGGGAGTACGGGTAGAGACGGGTGGGGAGGGGGGGCCAAGAACAGGTGAGATTCGTGGCACAGCAGGCTGTTGCCCAGGTTGTGGCAGGCGCGGAGGGTAGGGCGGGAGAGGTGGGCCACGCGGGAGACGGGGTGGCTGTTGGTTGGGAGCAGGGGGAGTGGGGGAGAAAAGGGGGTTGGAGGGGGAGGGACAACTGGAGAGAGACGTGGCACAGGGTGACAGCAGGAGGTGGAACAGCTTGTGATGGTCGCAGGTGGTCGCCTGGTGAGAGGCGCGGCAGTAACTGGCACCCCAAGGCAACTCTCAGATTCAGTTCTCTGGATTCCCCCCCTGACAGCCCGCCAGCATACCCCTTCTCATCCTCACAACAGCCTCCCTCGGGAATATCCCGTGGCCCAGCTTCCCTTTAGACACCCGGGTCGCCACGTTCTCCAGACAGACAGCCCTCTAATACAAACCTCTAGACAACCCCAAAGACAGCCCCTCAGCGTACCTTTTGTCATCCTCCTCCCCCACTGCAACGCCCCTCGGGAATATCCCGCGGCACAGCCCCCTACCAAGACAGCCCCCCAAACAGCCCCCTTCGGGTACCTTTTCTCCTCCTCCTCTGTTGCAACGCCAATATCCCGCAGCACAGCTTCTCTTGGGACACCCGGTATTCTTGCAATAACCCCCCAGACAATCCCCTGCGTACCTTTTATCATCCTCCTCTGCTGCAACCCCCCTCGGGAATATCCCACGGCACAGCTTCTCTTGGGACACGCGGATCGCCACGTCCTCCAGGTACTCTCTCTGCCAATCCCAATGCTCCACGTGTACAGCCTCATCCGCCCTTCCCCCACCCTCCTCCCCCGTCCGTCCCTCCCCCGACCCACCTCCTCCCCTCTCTCCCTCTCCTTCTCCCCTCCCTTCGCCTCTATTCGTCTCTAGACCTCCCAGTTTCTCTCCTCCTTGCCCTTCATTTCCCTGTATCCCTTCCTCTCCCTCCCCTTGCCGTTGCAATGGGCTCCTTGCTGCTTCACCTCCCGCTGTATCTTTCTTCCCTATGCGAGACCCCTTCTTATACACAGTAACGGGGATGTCTCTCACATGCTGTGAATCCTTCGCTCGTATAAACCGCGTTCCCCCTCCTCTTCCCCCTCCCCCTTCCCCTCCCTCTCCCCTTCCCCTCTCCCCTCCCCCTTCCCCTCCCCCTCCTCTTCCCCCTCCCCTTCCCCCTACCCCTCCCCTTCCCCCTGCCCTTCCCCCTGTCCTCCCCGCTTCCCCAAGCGCCTCGTCGCTGGCGATGATTCTCCTCAACTCGTAGCCCTCTTCCTTGCCTAGCGACGGCAGCGCCTGCAGAGAGTGCAGAGATTGAAGTGACGCCTGCGACGGATGCGACGCGTTCGCCCACCAGTGTGACAGCAGCGTCGCACGGGTCGCCAGCAGCGTCGCACGGCGGGCGGGCGACCAGAGCACCGGGTAGTAGTAGCCTAGGACAGTCAGACAACGGGTGAGAGCAGGATAAGAACAAAGGAGACTTGAAGGTTGAGTCGACTCAGGCGTCACAAGGCGGGCGGGCGACCAGAGCACCGGGTAGTAGTACCCTGGTGGGACGTTGGACAGTGGGTGAGAGGGTGAGCGAGAGCAAGACGAAGAGAACAAAGGTGAATTTTGTCTTCAGTCTGCTAGAAAGCCTTTTGAGTCGACTCAAGCGTCGCACGGCGGGCGGGCGACCAGAGCACGGGGTAGTAGTAGCCTGGAGTGGGCGAGAGCAGGACGATGAATACAAAGGTGACTTTTGACTTGAGTCGACTAAAAAACACTTGCTAGGTAGGAAATGAGGGCGGTAGCGATTGAATCAAGGCTCACCTGCGATGTTGGAGAGTGCGAGCAGGAGGAGCACGAGCAGCAGGCGACGGTAGCGAGCGGTAGCAGGGACTTAGGGCGGCAGTGTATGAGTCGAGGCTCACCTGCGATGTTGGAGAGTGCGAGCAGGAGGAGCACGAGCAGCAGGCGACGGTAGCGAGCGGTAGCAGGGACTTAGGGCGGCAGTGTATGAGTCGAGGCTCACCTGCGATGTTGGAGAGTGCGAGCAGGAGGAGCACGAGCAGCAGGCGACGGTAGCGAGCGGTAGCAGGGACTTAGGGCGGCAGTGTATGAGTCGAGGCTCACCTGCGATGTTGGAGAGTGCGAGCAGGAGGAGCACGAGCAGTAGGCGATGGTAGCGACAGAGCGCGCCGAGAAACGCGGAGACTACAGGAGAGGAGGCGGCGGTGAGAGAGGCGGAGCGAGGGAGCGGACTTAAGGCGGAGGGGCGCGACGCGGGGAGGCCCTTGATCTTGACGCGACGCGGCGGCATGGCCGTTGTTACCATTGGAGTTTAGGCCAAGCAGAGGTAATCCGCGGAAAATGAGGCTGGTAAGTCCGAACTATTTTAGTATCCTGGACAAATCTCAAGTTTGAAACATAATTCTTCTGAATCTAAGAACTTCCAAGAGGTTGAGAATTGAGTGGAGGTCTGGATTCCACATGCTCGTGTGCATCAACCACTTCAGTGAGAAAGGCTCGAGCTCGCTCCTTGAACTGCAATGCGGACGCGATCTGCAACTGAAACGGAACCGATGTGGTAGTCTAGGGTCGTTTGTCTAATGGATGTCCTTGGCAAGGCGCGAAGCATGTGAATTCTAGCATAGTCCCCGCATCGACCAACTGGCCATACAATGCTTCTTCTGCCTGCCATGGTGACCTTGGCAAAGAGGTGATGTGCATATTAGGTCGCTCGTTAATGATGCACTGCTTCCGAAGTGTAACTGTCAGAAAATGACTATTTTCCCATCCAGACCCTTAAACGACTGCTTGAAGTCATGTGTGCCATATTGATAAAATCCTTATGTTAGATTTCTATTGATATTTTGTTTCTATCTCCTACGTAGCATTAATGTTTCATTAATAGCTCTGCATACATTCAGTTATATAGGAAGACACAGAGGCAGTTAGAGCACCGCAACTGTATAACAGTCGCATGCGTCGCTTGGGTTGCCTTGTTACAGTCTCGCCGACGCGACCGTTCGGCTTCAGCAAGAGCCCTGGATTCTGCCGCGCCCCGCAGGGTGGTTGCGTGCAACAGAAAACGCTGCCGCTGGTAGATTTTAAATCGTTATGACGGCTTGCAAGATATCTAAGCTCTAGGTTCACGGGTTTCACGGCACGGCATGATGCTACAGCAGAGCTTTAGCATGGAGAACGTCTTTGCTTTCTCTTTAAGCGGTGCAGAGCGGCACAGCTCTGTTCTGTCGCCAGCTGCCTTGGAGACAGAATCCGTGTTCGAATCTCGGGCCCGTAAAATGATAATGAGACATCTTTCTTGGGTTCCCGACCCGAACAAGAGTACTACCATCACTGCTGTCATCCGTGAAACGCGGACGACACCTGCGATAATAAGATCTGCCAGGAGTACTATTGCTGTTCGTTCAAGCCAAGGATTTCTGGCTGACGCATTTACGCTTAGCCTATTCAACAGATTTTGCCACATCAGTTTTGCGTCTTACTCGGAAAGCCATAGCAGCCATCATCTCTTCGCAACGAATGGCAGTGTGACACGTATCCGGTGATCTCCAGCCGATTAGGAGGTGGAAGGAGGCAGTATCAGCGGCAAAACTCCTTCAACATCATCCGTGCCACGAATAACGTTTCAGAATTCTCAGGAGTCATAATGACGGAAGCAACCAGAGCAGCAGGCGAGTCACTGATGGCTCTACTGATGGCTCTGCAAAGTTCAATCTCCTGATTCCAATCAAAATGCACCTTGATTGACCCCGAATTTGCCCACTGACCAGAGGTCAAGGGCTCGGGGGATGTTACATACTTTAGCCTTGCAGCTTATTTCCCCCCCCCCCCCCCCCCCATTCGCCTGGATAATTCTAACTTTGCCGCAAGCCAGCTTTGTTTTACTCCCAGATTACCCAACCATTTAGAGGGTAAACGCAAGAACTCCCCCTTTTCAACATCTCGATCAATCCCCCCCCCCCCCCCCCCCCCCCACCCCCCCAACCTTCCGCCAGCAGCACCTTCCACGAATCCCTCCCGCCGCCGCCATTCCTCCAGGCGGCAGCGCTGGGCGGCAGTGACGTCATCCTGGGCGGCGGTGTTTGTCGTGGCTCTGGGCCTGCTGACGTGGACACTGTATCTGTATTCTGGCTACCGCCTGCTCTCTCCTCCCTCTGCCTCCGGCTCTACCCGCTCCTTTCCTCGCAAGCTACAGCAGGTTGCATTAGCCTCTTTCTCTTTTCTCCACCTCTACTCTCTCATCACCTCGCAAGCTACAGCAGGTTGTACAAGCCTCTTTAAGTTTTCCAGGCTCTACCCTCTCCTCTCCTCTTGGGCTGCAGCCGACCGTGTTTCTTTTTCTCTTCTGTCCTCTCCTTCTTCCACTCCCTCCTCACTCTCCTCCCTCCCCTCCGCCCTCTTCTCCCTCCTCCATCCTCGTCTTTTTCCGCTCCCTCGTTTTTACTTATATCCCTCTCCCTCTCTCTCTTCTCTCTCTCCTCGCTCTGTCCACCCTCCTTTCCTCTTCTTCCTGCCCTCCTCTTCCTCCCCTTTGCTTCCCTGCGCCTCTGTCCCCTAACATGCCTTCTCCTCTGTCCTCTATTCCGTCTCCTCTCCACTCCCTTTCCCTTCCTCATTCATTCACGCCGCTACTGCACCAATCAGATCACGCCACGTGGCAAGCCATGGCAGCTATTGGTGGGAGGAAGCAGGGAGGGACGCAAAGAGGAAGGGGGGCAGGCATACAGAGAAGCAGTGCGTGGGGGGGAGGATGGGGGCATGGGGCAAAGGCAACGAGTGGCTGGGGACAATGGGACAGAGGATGGGGGCATGGGGCAAAGGCAAGGTGTGGCTGGAGACAAAGGGGTAGAGGATGAGGAAGAGAGAGGGGACAATGGGGTAGATTATGGGAAAGAAGGAGGGGACAATGGGGTTGATGGGGGGTTGGAGAAAGAAGAGAGGCAGCAGCGGTACGAAGAGGAGGGACATGAGAATGGGAAACTGCTGGAGCAGGGAGAGGGAGTGATACATGGGGATGGTGGTGGTGGCGGGAGCATGCGGCATGATGTGATGGAGGCGCTTGAGATGCTGAAGCTGAACTTAAGAGCGTTGGAGGAGAACGTTGAGACAGTGCTGCACACTGAGAGCAGGTGAGGGGGGGTGCTTGTTGTGGCACGCCAAGAGTGCTAGAGAGCCTAGCACCCCGGCTTGATGTGATGGAAGCGCTTCAGATGCTGAAGCTGAATGTAAGATCGTTGGAGGAGAACGTTGAGACAGTGCTGTGCTGCACACTGAAAGCAGGTGAGGATTGGCTTTTGCTCCACGCAGCCTCGCGCATTCAACTCGAGTGCAGCAGCATTCCATCTCCCGCTCAGTTCCCATCGAAAGCGCCGGTGACACTAGCTCCCTCTGTATGCTCCTCTTCCCCCATCCCCCGTCCTCCATCCCCTATCCCCCACCCCCCAACCTCCCAGCCTCCACCCTCATGCCTTGAACGCGACTGCAGCATTCCTGTTCTCGTTCTTTACCATCCCCCCACCCGCCCATCCTCCCAGCCTGCACCCTCACGCCTTCAACACAAGTGAAGCATTCTTGCATCTCCCACCTGGCTCCATTGAAACTGCCACACCAGCAGCAGCAGGAGCAGTAGCAGCAGCAGCACCACCACCACCACCACCACCACCACCTTCACCAGCAGCATTACCAGCAGCAGCTGAGCTGGCAGCATCACAGTCAGTTGCAACCAATAAAGCCCAAGAACCACCAAGGAAGTTTGTGCGGCCAGCAGTGGCAGGGCCGGTGGTGATAGCGGGCATGGTGTATAACCGCGTGTTTGATGGCGACTACACTCGCTTCTGGGCGTTACATGTGTGGCAGGTGAGGGGCGAGAGGGGGGGAATGGCTAGTGCAGTAGCGTATACAGGCACTGTCATCGGCACACACCAGTGAAAGCCGACAAGGTGTGTAGCGTACTGTTCGGCGTTGGAGTGGACAGCAGTGGAGGGGCTGCTGGTGATAGCAGGCATGGTGTATAACCGCGTGTTTGATGGGGTCTACACGTGTGGGCGCTGCACGTGTGGCAGGTGAGGGGGTTTGGTGGGGGAATGGCTAGGGAATGTGTTTCTGTTTTCCTTTCTGTTTCTGCTCTTCTTTCTGTTTCTGTATCTGTTTCTTTCTTTTCTTTCTGTTTTTGTTGTTCCTTTCCCCATGCAGTGCAGTGGTTGGAGTGTAACCGCTATAGGGGAGAGACTCGTGCCTACTGGGGTCACTTTCGACTGTTAAATTCGACTCAAAAGTCACTTGTGTGTTCCTCTTCTTTCCCCATGCGTGCAGTGGTTGGAGTACCATCGGTATGCAGGAGTGAATCGGTTTTACTGGTACGATGAGGCCAGGAGCACTGACGAGGACCAGGTGAGTGTGCTCGAGGACCAGGCAAGTTTGTGGGTGTGTGCTGGGTAGGTAGTCGTGGTGCTGCTGTTTACGTGATAGGCGCCTGACCAGGACCAATGAAGAGGACCAGGTGTGTGAGTGGGGTAACAATGCTGCTGCTGCCTCTCAAACCTTCTAGCCATTGAAGTGACTTGGCTCTACTGGTGCGATGAGGCCAGCTGCCGCTCCCATACCTGTTGACTCATCCATCTCCCTCCCCTGTTCCCGCTCACCACCTCAGGACGTTGGGCAAGCACCCTATATTGGCGCCGGCCTGGTGGTATACCACCGTGTGTGCCAGCTACTGAGGGCTGATGTCCCTCCGAATCTCCCTCCCCCCCCCCTCCTCCCCCTCCCCACCACCACCTTCATGACCATCACAGGACGCGTTGCTCGCCCTCTACATCCACCGGCCTGGTGGTATACCACCTCATCCACACCTGTCGTCTTGTCCACCTCCTTTCCACCCCCGCCCTCCCCCCCCCCCCCCCCCCCACCCCCACCACCACCACCACCACCACCACCACCACCACCACCACCACCACCACCACCACCACCACCACCACCACCAACACCACCAACACCACCACCACCACCACCACCACCACCATCACCGCAGGACGTGGTGCTCGCCCCCTACATCGTCGCCGGCTTGGTGGTATACCACCGCGTGCGCGAGATGCCATTTGTGGAGGGAAACTTCACAGCGTACCTGAATAGGGAGTTCCGGTGCAAGCAGGGTGCCGCATTCAACCACTGGGTGCAGGTGGGGAAGAGGGGAAGGGCTAGGGCTTACAAGTACCACTGGGCTTACAATATCACCTGGTACCAATTTCACAGCATGCCTGGAGAGACAGTTCCGGTGCAAGCAGGGTGCTGCATTCAACCACTGGGTGCAGGTGGGGAAGGGATGTTGAGGGGCAGCGCATTTGAGTGGCCTTGTAAGTCACCTGGTCTGATACCTATTTCACAGCAGCAGGGCACCGCATTCAACCACTGGGTCAAGGTAGGAAGGGGGAGGGCGAGGGGCAGAACATTTGAGATTCCTATTTCACAGCGTACTTGGAGAGGCAGTTTCGGTGCAAGCAGGGCGCCGCCGCATTCAACCACTGGGTCAAGGTGGGGAGGGGGAAGTTAGAGCTTACAAGTGAGCCGGTTACTTACCTGTAAATCACCTGGTTAGAGCTTCACAGCGTACCTGAATAGGCAGTTTCGG